CAAGGCCAATAGTGGCTTCTTGAATCACCGTCGTTACAAGGAGTCCCATTGAAGAGATGAGGAGTGGCGTGTAGATTTTGAAAAGGCCCCTTTCCTCCTCAGAGTCGAGCTTCCCGTCATATGTGAACAAAAATGCGGGTGCATAACTGAGTAAAGTTTGAGCGTAGACGGCAATGCGAACACCAATACTAGATATATCTGGATTAGCAGCGACACAAGTGCCTGACATGAGTTTGGGAAGGGGAGCAAACTGAACTGCAATGTTCGAACCCATATATGTTAGATTTTAATTTCGGAGTCAATGCGAGAGAATGTCATGACGAACTGAACGACGGCGGTAGCTTGTGAAGAAGTGAATGTTCACCAGGCGCTGAGGATTGATTGGTACCTCTTCTTTGACATGTCAATTCATGTATCAACCATTTTGACTGCCAAACAGGCGGAAAAGTTGCCTCGAGGCCGCAGTTACGACAATAGACTTGCGATTAAACGCGGCTAGGCATAATCTCGGGTGTGTAGAGTCGTCAAATGACCGTATGTCGTTGGCCAAAATGCTTATCTTCTGGTTCAATTTTTCCGAATTGAAGCCCTCCTGACACCCGACAGCTCCAGTTAGAGCGCCAACGAAGGATGATGAGCATTCAGGAAACAAATAAAAATAAAACACTGACGTATTTACTCGGTGAGTTCGACCGCTTACTTATGGGGAGGTAGAGGGGTGCCCTGGAGCCATTCAAGCTAAAAAGCTAGAATGTTTGCCGAGGTACCATTAGATCAGGTTAGCCGAGTTTTCTGTAACACTGAAATACTAGTCAACACCTGCGACCAAAATGTTCCAAATACAATTTTGAAATCGCCTTCCGTTCACTCTACAAGAGCAGGGATGTACTTCAGCTTGCGATGTGAGCACGGGTACTGCATAAATAACTAGTCCTACAACAAAGAGAGCACTTTGCCCTTTGGGAAAGAAGGTTCCATCTTTGAGGTAGTGGCGACCTCCGTGTACGTTCTTGGCGATTTTTAATATTTAGCGGCGTGCTCAATGGTAGATCTATGTCTGTGTATCTCGAACCTATACCGGGGTCATCGGTTTACTTGCTTTGAAGGAAGGGATGGTAAATTGGATTATACGCTCGTTCAGTACATCAAACTTCACAGGAAACTAGGGGGATCTAATAGCTGGCCGACCTCACCATCGGCCTTAATGATACTCACGTCTTGTCTGTCACCTCAATGAGGATGCAATGGCCGGAACAAATACTCTCTTTATTAGCTCGAACAAAGGGTATGCTACAAAAAACATAGGTTGCAAAGATAGGTATAGTATGTAGCAACTACCCGGAAGTATGGGGTTAGTTCGAGGAGTCTGGCCAATGCTATCGTCTGCCGGTATGGGCCAAAAGAAAGTAAATAAAGCCAATCCAAATGATGAAGCATTTCCCCCTGGCCAATTTGAACGACTGGCCTCCGAGTCTTCATCGATTTACTCCAGTAGTATTCAATCATACAAGTGAAGTGCAGAGGGAAGTTACCTACTTGATTTCGGCAGTGGGTATGTAGGACGTACCCTGAATCATTGTTCCTGCCCTTCCCAAACTTCTCACGTTCCCCAGTGTGTGTGGTCTTGTTTCCGTGATACGGTGTTTCTTGAACTTGCGCAAGCCAGTTGTTGCGGGTATCAGGGCAGAGCTGAGGCGATGGATTGAGTGTACAGTTCGAGTAGAACGATGGTGCACAGAGTTCCGAGAGCAACGAGAACGAACAACAGGGCGTATTAATCAATTGGGGACGGGAGAGGTCTCTCATCGTGCATTACGGGTGTGGTTATCGTTGGGCTATGGAAGGCGAGTATTAAATTTGAGGAATGCACCGTGGAGGCAAATGAATATGTAGAATGTGTTCCAGGGAGTAGACATGGGATGAGCCGAAATTTCTAGTTGCTCACAGGACACTGGATGATCATCCGAGCCCGATGGGATACCAGCGCTAACGTCCCGAATTTCGCCTAAATTTGGCCATTTTGGGCGTCAATTCCTGAAAATTCTCCATAGTCACCGCAGGTCCGCCATCCGAAACAAATGAAATAGTACAGTACCTAGTATCCGAGAACTCTCATGTTCCTGGGCTGAGAAATCCGATCTGTTATTGTTAAGGGTTGGACGTTGAGAGGACAGAGAAGCTGAATATTGCCAAGGAGATTTTAGCCCGAGTCGGATCATAAAGTAACACGGACGATTCATGCTTCTTAACGGCGAGAGTAGACGGAGGTCAACAGCAAAGATTGCGGAGCGGCAAGAGATGCGATCTGTCGCAAACGAAACTGATCCACATTGCAACAACTATGCTCGATAAGCAGGACTAAACACAATCTGGGTAGAACAAAAAACGTTTGATAAATCAGGGAAAGCACACACAAAAGATATGACCCCATAACTAGAGAATGTCGAATTGAAGAGGTATTATTCATTCCATCTGCTTAGTGATCAAAGAGGTACTGCCGGCCAAGGTCGGTAAGACTACCATCACTGTTCATGAGCCCACCTAGTATCTAGTGTTAGACTTCAGGGACAATCAAGAATAAGAAACGAGGCTGACCAAACCAGCAATACTGCTGAACCCAGTCAGTGCTGTCCATGAAATCAATGGTTGTGCTCATGAATTGCTGGACTTCTTCAACAGAGCATTGAGTACCTCCGTTAAAGTTCTAGATAGTATTTAATGTTGATATCAAACATAATATGCATCAAAAACGCACCTGGCAAGCGAATTCGGTTAACCATATTGGCTTTCCGAACGTGTTATGGAAGTCCTCGAGGTAGGCGATTAATCCATCAGCCGAAGTATCGTAATAGTGAACAGCGATAGCATCAAAAGTACAGCCGGCGCAGGCGCTGAAGAAGTCTATAACGGCTCAGTGTAATTGTTACATGTAAAGGCATTCAGTGGAAAAGGTTACTCACCCTTCATCCACTGCTTGCTTCTGGGATCGGATGTGCAGGCAGGTGAGACGAGTTGGTAGCCCTGCGAAGCAAGAGGTTGAATATGTTGTTGCCACAGTGCGGCTGCATCCTGAGGAGACATGTTGGATTGGCCGGCTTGATCGGGTCTAAATCAAAATCAATGCATGGGTCGTGGCGAAATGGGTTAAGCCACTTACTCGTTCATACCAAGAACCCAATTGGCATACCCAGGCTTCACCAGTCTGTCGAAATCGTTAACCTGGTCTAGACCCCATAACATGGGAACGCCGATATAACCATGAAGGTCGGTGGGAAGATTGGGACTCCAAGTGTAGAGGCTGAAGACATATCAGCAAAGCACCAACAATAGCCAGTACAGAATAAGTACATTCCAGCAAAGTCCGTAACAAAATTGGCGAGTGCAGGATCTTCGCCATTGGACCAGGCGAGGCATACTTTACCTGACCCAATGGCGTCGTTGCTCAGTGTGTTAGACGAAGCGAGATGTGAAGAATCTCCGACAACGCTGTTATTGTTGAGCTCGCGTTGAAGTATACCACGATGAGCCTTGACAGGCTTGAAAACCAAGGATGTCCCAAGAACTGCCAATGAAGCCAAAGCAACGAGATTGATGAGTTTGCCAGCAGCCATTTTCGCCGATTCTATCCTGATATGACGAATTGTCGGCGAGAAAGTGAGTTGAGGAGTGAATGCTGTAAGAACGGTGACGGGGTGGTTGAGGGGAGGAAGAAATCCCGTTTTTATTTAAATAGCAGCACACTATGCTTAAAATTAGTCCGAATGGATCTAGAGGAAAAGCTGTATAGAGTGTGAAGCACTTTTCTCGTCGAGCTTCGATTCGTTGATATATCTTTGGATGCAGTGATGCTCCGGGAGTAGCCTCTCGGAATAGAATGATTAATTATGGATTCCAGGGAAACCAGGGTCCCGGTGAATTAATATTGGTAAAGCAATGAGATGCCAACGAAGCAACCCGTGGTCAACGGGGATAGAACTACGACGAAGTGCGACAGCATCGCTGCCGAAAGCGATCGCCGAAAGAGTTGTATTATGTGCTGTGGAGATGAGCTGCGAGCCGTATGGCTAAAACACCAGCTCATGTCGACCAAAGTGTCAAGGCAGCGGGAAACGACGTCACGCGTGTGGTTTAAGTCAAAGGCGCCACATGCATAGCATAGCAGATCCTTTATGCCGTCTTGTTGCCGTCGGAACGAAAAGACCCGATCAGGTCCTGTTGCACGGTAAAGAGCGTTCATAACATCTCCGTCTCTGGAACGAGACTGGCAGACGGAAACCCCTGGATGTTCTATGACGAATTAGTGTACAGTGTGAATCATTTCACCCCTGGGCATCACATGCTCGTCTTAAACCACATGGGTAAAGTCAATTCAGGAAGGGCTCTTGTACAAGAACTTAGTATCGACTGCGTCCTTGTGCGAGCGAGCAAAAAGCACTTGAAACTACAGATTCTCTTTGTCCGCGTAACAATACCTATCCCCAGCATCGTATCCGAACCATCTGCTCTGCTTTCGCTGTTGCCCTGCCAGTGGTAGTTCTCTATGTAAGGCGACGAAAGCGAAGAATGTAGCGAAGGCAATGTGCTCTAGAGGCTGTCTTATCTACCCCACACGAGGGTGACTGAAATTGGATCAACCTCGGGATTGATAATATCAAAGCTGGAGAAACTTGAAGGCGGCACAGCGTGTAGCAGTTCCCGGTGGCGTAGAAGGCAACATGTCGATATTGGCATTGGATTAGGTTCTGACGCGACATTCCGCCAAAACTATATTCCAAATTGAAGTTTAATTTGATAATCGGAGAATTCCAATCGCAGATCAACGCTCGCGTCAAGCCTCGTCTCAAGTTGTTTATTCGATATACAGCGCATTAACAGATGTTGACAGTGAACGAACTGGACTAGATACTTTATACTGTTGACTGATCTCATTACCGTCTTATCTACAGATCTCGACACCAGTTCGTGAGCTTGAGTATCAAAAATGCCCTCGTCTGCATCAGTTCCCCCTAGCCGATTTGAACGACTGGCCTCTTCATCGATCTACATTCAATTGCCGCGGAGATCATACAAGTGAAGCGCTCTACCTCTGAGCTAAGGAGGATTGGTACCTGGTAGTCGTTGGAATGAGTAATAGAAACCAAGCGAACACTGTCTGTCTGTGGGTAAGAACAGGTGATCCTATACCCAACAGCAAATGTAAAACGGTAAAACGGTGGTTGTCAGATTTAAACCGGAGACCTGGTAGATCTATGTTTCGTTTGTCAAGCTTATCAGCCCATAAAATACTCCTTAGACCTAGTTATATTGATCATGCTCTACCCTTGAGATAAATAGCAATAGCGATACATTCAAGTTACCTCGCGAACCAGCTTGCCACAAATTGAAACAATAGAAAAAGACAGTCCAGTCTGGTCCTTTAGTAGCCTGCCGCGAGGGTCGAACTCGCAGCCTTCAAATCTCACTTCATTACATTGAAGAATAGAGGAGTCTGATGCTCTATCCAATTGAGCTAGGCGGGCTCAAGAGATTGGAGGTGGTGGCGATTTCATCTCCTCAGAGACAACAGATCTAAAGCTAAGGAGAGGTGTGCATCATGATATGCGTTGGAAACCCGATGCAAATGTGAGCGAGAAGAACACCAACTCGCTGCTTGAAAATTACAACCCCTCATAAGAGTCTACCAACTATCCGAGTCGAATCATCCAATAATTGCGTCAAAGAAGGATATCGAGAGCACCCCTGGGGTCTTCATAAATATCTACTACATCCCACAGCGTGTTATTTTCATTCGGATCAAGAGACCAAAAATCATCGAATGAACTGTATAGTTCCCCCTAGCCGATTTGAACGACTGGCCTCTTCATCGATGTACATCCATGATTTATCCTTTATAATACAAGTGAAGCGCTCTACCTCTGAGCTAAGGAGGATTGGTATTCGGAAGTCGTTTGAATGGCTAATAGCAGCCAAGCAAACACCGTCTGTCGGTGGGTATAAACAGGTGATAAAGTACTTACATCGATACCTCTCAGACAGCAAACGTGAAACGACACAATCCTAACCAGTACGTTGAGATGCAATCGAACTCAAGCGTGATTACCGTCCTTTCCTCGATCGAGAGCACTCGTTGAACCGATTTCAGTGAACATCCTCTAGCTAACACATACCGGGGCTCGAAATGACCCTTTCGTTCACTCAGGGGACTCTGTAAATTGAAGGGGAAAAAATGTTTTCGCTATTATGTGTAGTAGCCCACCGCGAGGGTCGAACTCGCAGCCTTCAGATCATTCACAATACAACAAGGAGATAAGAGTCTGACGCTCTATCCGATTGAGCTAGGCGGGCTCAATGGAGATGTTAAATTTCGTCCTGATAGTAGTGTAAATAATAGAGCGGTGCGGATAACAGAGGTGTAGATGTGCATTTGGAGAATTCACCACATCGATCGAGTCTTGACGCGGAATACGCGGATAGACGTGATAGAACCTCTCAGATCAAGTTTCAACCGAGAGACGAGTTCTGCTCTAGATCTAACAACGAAGGGAGGAACGGAATAAACACTCTAGTTGAGTACATCACGTTTCCCAAAAAAACTATACTATCGGGTATAACATAGGCTCGAGCCAGAGTTGAACTGGAGACCTTTCATCTGTGAAACTCAAGGCATGGGTCAACCTGGCTACTTCACCATCGGGCCTTTTTCGTTACCTATCAGCTCTTCGCCACAACATCCAGACCCGAACGACTGGCCAGCCGAAAGCGAGAGTTAAAGTCAATAGACTGGAAAAAACACTTTTCTTTGTAGTTCATATATATCAAAAAACATAGAAACCAACATGGGATAGGTCCGAGCCAGAGTTAAAACTGGAGACCTTTTATTGAGAGGTCTGTGAAGCTGATAGCCGGTAGACTACTTCACCATCGCCCTTAGTATCATGAGCGTCCAATAGACCCGAACGTAAATTTAAAGACAAGTATGACACGCAGCCACTACCCGGAAGTGAAGAGTCCGGTCGATCCTATCGTTTTCCGTATGCGCTAAAAGAAAAGGTAAACAAAAGTTATTGTAGAGACAGAGGCAATTCCCCCTAGCCGATTTGAACGACTGGCCTCTTCATCGTGACACACAGCCTCTGATCCTACGAGTTAAGCGCTCTACCCCTGAGCTAAGGGGGAAGGTGTTTACCTTTGACAGGCTAAGAAGACAGTGCCGATTTCACGGTGACGAGAGGGACGAAAAACTTAACGGGTCGGCGATGAAAGTGCCCGGCGTGGTTCGAACACGCGGCTTCAAGATTGTATCGGATCCATTACAGGTCTATTGCAATCTCACACTCTACCACTGAGTTACGGGCACAGATGATTCAATTTAGTGTGGAGGTTCTATGCCATGTTGGGAGAGCGGAGTGCGCAGAAAGGGTGGACACTGGAGTGTGGTAGTGGGTTTGGGGATATGAATGTCGTGTTACATGCTTTCTGCTTCCCTTATTGCCCCCCACCCGGCGTATCTCCGTGTTCTGGGGGAAGAGGGCAAGATCAATGTACTCGTTCGAGGAAAGAAGAGGATGTCGGCCACATAATGGTCGGAATGACCCAGCTTCGTCGATACACACGGTTCGATGTCCGATGATAAGAGTCACAGAGAGGTGGCGGGAGGGAGAGCAATGGATTGGACAGTAGACGATAAGGTGTAGGTATTGAACGGGGCGCCTACACCTGATCTTTGAGGGGAGGGATGGCGAACGGCGTGGGTGTGGGTGTAGATCTGGGCGGTGGAGAAGGAGAATAAGTCAGCTCGCGTTGATTTCGGCAGTGGAGTATATAAGACGTACCCCGAATCACCATTCCCACCCTTCCTGAACCACTGGCATTCCTTCGTGCGTGTTCCTGCGCTTGCGATACGCCGCGGTGAAGGATAAATGTGTTTCTTGTGCTAGCCAATGTTAGCAGGATAGAGGTATGGGGACGGATTGAGACCATACCATGCGAATAACGATAACCGTCAAGGTGGGTGTGGCGAGTCTCAAGAGGTGGACGGCTTCGAATAAACGAGGGCGCATTGATTGATTGGAGACGGGAGAGGCTTGTCATCGCACATTACGGGTGTGGTTACCGTTGTGGTATGGAAGGTGTGTATTGAATTTTGAGGAACGCTCCATGGAGACTAGTGATGATATAGAGATGAGTTTCAGAGAGTAAAGCAGTGGATTGAGACGTACCTGGTATGTGACATTCCTGCGTCGAGAGATTTGACAATGTAAGCTTGCTGCGTAATTGGACGGAGAGCACGGAGAAGCTGAATCCTGCTAAAGATGTATTAGCTCGTGTCAAATTGGAAGGGAACATGGACGATTTACGATTCTTGCATTGGACGAAAGGGTTGGAGATGGAGGTCAACAGCAAAAGTGCGGAACCGAAAAAGAAGCGAACAGGGCCAGCTCAACGCCTACATCAATGACGCCGCCATGACCACATCAGTGCAATCTCGAGCATGTGCCCCATGGCTGAGTTGGTTACAGCGTCCGACTGTTATAACACTCAGTGCAGACAACATTAAACATCGGAAGGTCGTGAGTTCGAGCCTCACTGGGGCAGGTGGATCATCAAACTACCTTTTTGCTTCCAATCTCTGTTTTTGGTGCTGTTGGTACCCTTCAACTAGTTCATTGGCATCCCTTGACCGAGCCTTCCCGCACCAGTTTCCGCGGAACAAAAACATTCAAACGCACGCATTCCGTTACATGGAATCGAGCCCTGGGCTATCGCGCGTCTCACCACACATGGTGCATGAGAGGCAATAATGTTTAGCCACTATACCGTAACGGAGTCTTTTGTTAGTGATGGTGGCAAACCTCTGAGGCCACTGAGAAATCTTTTATCACCCTATCACTAGCTGCTCTTTTGAAAACTTAAATGCTACTCATCGCTTGTTATGACTAGAATTGAGCAAAAGCTCAAGTATTCTAGGCTCTTCGCGTAGGTTCCAAAGCACTGGGGATAGTAGCATCAGAGGGTTGACAATGTCCTGTTGCGCAAGCAATCCTCCACCACCCACGTACAGTTTTAGACCTTAGAGCGCGATTAAATTCCCCATCGGTTTCATAATGCATTGATCAAGATCCAGAAACGGTCCTGCTACACTGAAATCCTTTGTGAAAGAGTCTATTCATCATCCACTAGATGTTATTGGAGACCAAAGATCAGGTATTAGCACCTGGATTCAAGTTGGTATTAGGAACAGTTTTGCGCCAGCTGAACCTTCCTAGTGTGACCTATCTCGCGCTTATCCTACGAGCACTCACCACTCTACCATTAGAAAGAGACGTTATATTCCCTACAGTCAGTAGTAACAATCAATGCGTCATGCCGCGTTGATCCGTTTGTTCGCCCCGACACTTCTCAGCATGATTATCTACCAACAAATCAGGGTATTCTCAGCTTGTATATCATGCTTGTTAGAAGTCTGGAAAAGGTTTATATCTATGCATATTTCACTCAAAGATACAAGGATTTGGGGCGGGTTTCGAGTGATACGAGAAGAGGGTGCCATGCCGGCATTCAAACGGCATGACGCAATGAATTCTACTAGGCACTGTAGCAACCTTTATTGCAGAGTTTTACACCGATTCGGCGCCCTACACACGAGGAGGTCCTTACATCCTCCGAGGATTCGAAGAATTCTAAGCTATTCGCGTGAAGATCTGAGTGCTGGATCGGATTCAGGACAAAGCGTCGGTGGTGAGCTATGTTGTATTCCTCGGAGGAGCGCCTCACCTTTGCTCATGAGGATCCCGAGGAAGGTTGGATGGTTTTGATGTAGAAGGACTCAGGAACGATATCATCACGTCCGCGTGCAGAAGAAGCATGTTGACGGTAATGGTGCGTAGAGATGTCAAGTCTCAAACACAGAACTCGGAGGCCAGAAGATTTCAACTCTGGAGCGTTGATAATCGAGGTATCACCTTTGGGTTGAGGCTTTTAATATTGAACTGCAGAGGTAAAGCGAACACGAGAAAACCCGATGTGAATTGATCATTTGTAAGAGAACGGCGTGAGAGGAGAGCGTGAATCGAGCACTCACAGCCGGTCATTACGCGATGCTCAACGAGAACAGGGTTGAAGTCAAGGGGTGGGCATTACAGCAATTCTCGAGTACCGTCCTACTCCCACCACTCAGCCATCAAATTTCCTTTTTCGATGTTGGGCCCAATGGCACGACTCACTCTTCCTCATTCCGCTATGTCCCGTTTTTGTTCTTGATTGTGTAGCTTCAAATAAACTTAGCGAGGTTTAGTTGTGTGTATCAAGGATTTCTGTCTCCTTTGTCAGGTGGCTCCCTGTTATCGCGGCGGATCTTTTCCGTTATACAACTTCGAGCGACCGTGACGAGACACATCCCTCACCTAAAGCTGCTCATTAGCGTGCCCAAAATCGGACGCTCAATAATTTCCACTGGTTGGGCATTTTAGCCTGTTACAGTTAGGACTACATGAATATGGTAGACACATTTTGCTTCATATTTTGATAAACGATGTGTGGTGCCCATCGAGCTAGTAGTATCGAGAGCATGTATGAAGAGCAAGTATGCCGCACTCCATCACAACCTAAAAAGGAAATTTGATGGCTGAGTGGTGGGGGTAAGCTGTAATGCCCACGCCTTGGTTGAAGTGATTAAGTCGGACGTTGTCCATGTGAATGAAAAAGGGAAGTGAACGGGAAGATGCATTGATGAGAAAAAGAAACAAGGAGCGGTGTCTGAGGTCCCTTCTATGCGTCAAATAATCACGGAAACTTCCACTTGCTCATCCCACTAAGATCGGCATTAAGGTGTAGTCTTAATGTGGTAATCCAGGTTGATCGCTTCAGACCACGCTTACACAGTACAAGGTTGGCGGTGCATCAACTTCTTGCGAGGCAACGAAGGGTCCTAGAACTGCACCAGCAACTGATGGCTACAAATCCCTACATCACACTTTCATGCATAAATATTCACGAGTGCAGTAATCCAAAGTATTCAGGACATATAGTGGTATTTATACCCCAGCACTAAACCCTCATCACGTCTCCCTCGGAGTCCCACACTGATTTCTGTAGGAAGACTACAACGATAAATAACGTCGGGTAAATACTCTACAACGCCCTTATCAACGAGTGTATCTCAGAAATGCTAGACGTAGAGCTTACCACAAAGCTAGCACCTAGAGTCTGTACGACTGCCGCACAAACGAGCCATGCGAATGAGCGACCCAGGAGGGAGACCGCTACGAATGAACATATACCACCAACGATCTGTAGAGATGAAAAGTCAAATACGATCATTACGGCAGAGGCACTATGGACAAACGCACGAGTACGATCAGATATATCACACCACTTTCCACGATGAGTACCAGTATCTTTTCATGTCGAGCTTGTCGATGGTCTGCTCTTAGATACAGTCGCGGCAAGAAAAGTTGCAATGCCTTTTCGGGTAGATCAGTCCCACGACCCCAAGATTTTCCAAAAATGGATCGATGTACGTTACTGGTTCAGCACAGACTGTGAGGGACCTCATGTCTTTCCCCTCATTTTTTGAGCGCAATCAGTTACTTTGCATCATATGAAGCTAAGATAGAAAGGTGAGTGTGAAAGGTGATAATTTCGCGAAGTTCTTCGCGCTACAATATGTTCCCAGGGCAGATGGGAATCTCCTTCCCAATAAGGCATTGCAACTTTTTTTGCCGCGACTGTACGCCCGAACGGCTTTACGATGGAGCCTTTGAATGGTTAGATGAGTAAGATAACGAGTTGTTGATTTGAATAGGAACAGCTCTGACCATGTGTAATACCATGTGATAGTAATAATTGTCATGTTCGTGATCACTGAAAGACCATAGGCAATGCTCTGCATCAATAGAGTGCCATCACGCCCTTTATTTAGGAAGAGGACCGTCCCGCACACAGAAGAAACTGATCGCTGATTGATTAGTGTATGTATTTTGATGGGCCGTTAGTTACGCACCTGCTGTCAATCCCAACAACGCGCCCGGAATAACCAATATCATACGCCGATGTCTCCAAAGCATCCAAGCTCTCCAGAAGAAAATCGCGTCGCCGATTAAGATCTATTGAATACGTGGGTTTGTCTTCGGGACTACCATCGACCATCCAAACCCACGTTCATGAATATAATAACAGCCGTTGCTCCTGTTAGGGCATCGTCCCTAAGGGGGACGTAACATGTGGCTTGTTCTGAGGAAAGAAGCTTGACGTTGAGGATGATCTCAGCAGCCCATAGAGCGACAACTATGGTTCACAAAACCATCATGGTGACTGTGGCTATCATGAGCCCAATTCGGGCTTTTGATAAACGGGTCGAAATTTCTCTTTGGCTTTTGGGGGTGAGCAGTCAGCAATGGAAAGGGTTTTACAGATACATACCACAGTGCTTTGATGCATATCCATAGAAGTACCCCTTGTGCTCCTGTTTACAGATTACAGTGATCAGTGAACTGGGAACCCATACCCAATGAAACGAACCATGGAATAAAGCAGTGACCAAAAGCCCGGCAAAGCCAAACACGATGTGATGTAGAGCGGATTTTACATCGCAGTCTGCGAGAGATAGCATTTGGATATGTCGACGAAGAAGTCGAAGTGCTAATGGATATGTTATATCAATACCAAGGAATCCTAGAATGGAAATGATGTACTAATCAGGTTTGGGTCGTACTCGCTGGCAATTACATTCATAGGTTGAATTTTGGTAAGATTGATGGTGTATTGTTGAGAGACTAGAGTATTGAATACAAACGTTCGGGTATGATTTGGTAATTCTTTTGAGTGTATCCTACCGCGTTGTACGCGCTCCATGAGACATGTGTTACAGGACATATCCGGTACAAGGTTGTTTGGTATTGATGAGCTCACCGTTAGTCTTGTCAATGCTCCTAGGTCCATATCCTTGTTCTATTTCAGTTATCCATTAGATGTCGGGGCGGTGTCATGATACATACCTTTGAATAATCATGCAAAAAGCGGGATAAAGGAAGTTGAAGTCGAGGACAACAGGTGCATATATGTAGGAATGCTTAGCTATATTTGCTATCAGCGACCCGATCAATTCGGCTCAGGCTTTGAAGGAGATACCGACAGCGGCGAACACCATGGCATGATGTTCCACTGGAGGGAGACCTACCCAGTGTGCGTTATCGCTTGAATACTTACGATATAACCAGTGAAAGACTGACTGTGAAGAATTCCGCTGTATTAGTGGGCTCGGACTTTGCTCACCAGGTGATCACATTAATCAGATCAGGATAGAAAGGCTTAGAACCCGCCTTGACATGAGATTTGCTCAATGCAATGATGCGACCCGAGACGAAGCCGCAACTGACCCGAGGGCGGAAAGTTGGGTGTTTTGATATTTGAGTACAGGCAGTGATGGAGAAGAAAAGGAATGAACAGATAGATAGATATTATCCTGCAGTGGTTCGGAACGACAGGGATCCGTACTACATGTACATGATGAGTGTATACTAAGTAACTCTGTGCTACGACCAACTGCACCCCACCGATTCGTATGGTAGTTCACCTCGCAACACTGAGAACATAAC